TTCATGCACGGCTCATTTTGTACACCTGTAAAAAAACATATATCTATGTCTTGAATTTGGAAAAAAAAATCATATTTTTTATCACTAAAGAGGGGTTCACTGAATGCGTATATGAAACTGGTGGGTTCGGTACTTCAAAAATGGTTAAGAACCACTGATTTAAAGTGTGGATTTTTGAACAGATTCTCAGAGTAAAAATAGGTTATGACTTCATTCCTATCATCACCACAAAAACATTTCAGGCTCAGGATTTTTATTTTACTTTAAGCCTTAAGTTTGTCAGGTTTTATGTGTTCACTCCATATTTAGAACAAGTAGTGTTCGTTACTTGATTTTCAGACATTTTATTTTTTTAAATGTTAATGAATACAGCGGGTAAAATAAGTATTGAACACGTCACCATTTTTCTTAGTAAATATGTTACTAGAGGTGCTAATGACATGAAATTTTCACCAGATGTCAGTAACAACCCAAATAACTTCATTTCTGGGCATTTATGGTTTGATTTCTTTGTATGTATGGATCACTTGGGTTGTTACTGACATCTGGTGAAAATTTCATGTCATTAGCACCTCTAGTAATATATTTACTAAGAAAAATGGTGACGTGTTCAATACTTATTTTACCCGCTGTAAAGCAGACCATCACTCGGCTATATTTAGACACTTAGAAGGACGTGTAGTCAAAGCACTGACCTGTGTTTTGCCGAGGAGCGAGTAGGCCCGCTGGACCTTGGTGTAGTGCAAAATATCAAAGTGCTTACAAGTCTTTGACAGGGCGACATCAAGCTGTTCCTGGAGACAGAAATAGATAAGCGACAAAGGAAAAGAAAAAGGGAGATTATCAACATTGTCGGGGATCGAGGCACATGTGAAAATGTAGAGCTTTCAGGCCAAAGGCAGGTAACTGGGAGAGGATGTGGGTGAAATTATAACCAAGTATGAGACAAAAAGATAAAACAAGGGTAAAAAAAGGCAAATGAATTTGTAATTGGGAAGTGAAGGAATGTGTATCGACTTTGACACACTAAGCTGAGCTCATAGAGTAAAAGATCAAATGTTTTGCATCATTCAATATTTTATTAAGCCTTAGATGTAAAACTGCAACTGACTGTGAAGCAAAGACTGGGATTGATGTACCAAGGACATTAGACCAGTTTTAAATAGTTAGATTTAAAGACATTCTTGTAATACTTTGAATGTTTAAGTGAACTTGTTGGATTTTGGGCGTTATTAAAGTTATTCAAAAATTATTTCCTTTGGAGATTATCTCTTTTGTTTTTGTTTTGTTCTATTTCAGTCCACTTTTTGTAAAAATGTCCGTCCATCCATCGGTTTTCAGGTCGCGGGGGCAGCAGCCTAAGCAGAGAAGCCCAGACTTCCCTCTACCCAGCCACTTGGGCCAGCTCSTCRGGGGGAATCCCAAGGCGTTCCCAGGCCAGCTGAGAAACATAGTCCCTCCAGCGTGTCCTGGGTCTTCCACTGGGCCTCCTCCCAGTGGGACGTGCCCGGAACACCTCGTCAGGGAGGTGTCCAGGAGGCATCCTAACCAGATGCCCGAGCCACCTCAACTGGCTCCTCTCAACGTGGAGGAGCAGCAGCTCTACTCTGAGTCCCTCCCGGATGACCGAGCTTCTCACCCTATCTCTAAGGGAGAGCCCCGACTATGGGATAAATCTTGTGCCAGCAGGAATTGAATTTGAATTGCTCAGATTTAATCTGAATGTGCATAATTTGAAATTGAATGCACTGGTTTGAAAATAAATTTCACTAAATTGAAACAGAATTTAATGATTTGAAACTGAATTTAAAGTTTTGAATTTGAATGAATTTGCTTTGAAACTGTATTTTGGTCTATTAAAAATTCAGTTTGACTACTTTCAATTTCAGTTCCAAAATTCAGATTTTTGTGTCACACATCCTGGTCCTTGAGAAAGCCAGCCAGAGTAATCAAACACAGATSCTCAGATTTACGTTTCACTTTGGTGAAGTTTCCCTTCTATAATGTAACAGTTGAAGCAATCCACGGTAAAAGTGACAAAAACAAAGTTATTTTATTGCAATGATTAATTTTATCTGTATTTAGAAAGGGTTACATTTCCATCCCGTCATGGATCAGTCAGCAGCAGTATCTGATCAATGTGTGATCCATGATTTGATGTAAATGTAGCATTTTCTACATGCCCCGATCCGGAGGCGGCACCCTACCCTTTTCTGACTCAAGACCATGATCTCGGATTTGGAGGCACTGATCCTCATCCCGGCTGCTTCACACTCGGCTGTGAACTGCTCCAGTGAGAGCTGGAGATCACAGTCTGATAATGAAATCAATAGGACCACATCATTCGCATAAAGCAAAGATGGGATCCTGAGGTCACCAAAACTGATCCCCTCAACAATCCGTTCTATGTTTTTTATGGACTTTTATGGACAGAAATTCTTTCCATAAAAGTTATGAACAGAATCAGTGACAAAGGGCAACCTTGGCGGAGTCCAACTCTCACTGGAAACGAGTCCGATTTACTACCGGAAATGTGGACAAAATATAAATGTATGTATAAATGTACCAAACCATTTTAAGGCCAGATTAAAATTGATCCGCTCCAACTCAAGGGTTGAACCAGTGTTGTGTCGACACATATCGTACAACCAAGAACAGAAAATCATTTTATTGTATCTTTAGACTTCTTTTTAGCTGCCTGTAACAAAAACACAAAACAAGTTCATGACTTTTCTTTGTTGCATATATCAAAAATGCAACAAGGTATGACATTCTTACAGGGATAAAAATATGATCTTTTATTCACCAACGAGGTTGTTTCCAAAGAGCTATTTGCAGAAAACATAACCTATTCAGGCATTGTGTGTTCAAAAGAAGGAGAAAAATAAACTTCAACTTTAACCTCAAGTAACAAAGTGGCTAAAGATATAGTTTTACATTAATTCATTGCTCAGTTAACAGTTTACAACACCGTTCCATCCTTTGGGTGTATGTGCCTTTTATGCTTAAATGATTTAGAGGTCAGTGTTAAGCAGCTTAACGAAAAATAAATGAATATAAACAAATAAATAATTAAAGCCTTTAAAACTGGCTGGGTACAAGGACTGGAACAAACCCCAGAGACTTCTATATGCTAAAAGCAATTTAGATTGGACTGTGCTTTATTCAAGTGTTTACCTTTATGATTTAGAGGGTTCTGCATTGCTTGATCACTGGTTCAAGATAATAAGTAAACAAACAACCTTTGCAAATGACGTTGCATCATATGCATGCTTGCATGGTATCTCGCTCGTGTGCAGACAAAACTGTACCCAATTATTCCACTGGAGCACAGCGGCTGTGGTGAAGGTATAATTGCTTCTCCATTATCATTTATCACAAACATCAAGACACAACCAGAGATGAAACAAATATAATTTACTGCGCTTGCACACTCACAATATTGACTTTCTGATTGTGTCAATAACTCACGGACCTAGAACAACAGAACTGAACTATCAAAATGTCAAAATGGGGTAAAATTTGCCTTTTTCAAYTGAAAGCCTTTGAAAATACACAGGATAAAACAAGATATTACACACTCCTCAAACTGTTTACATTGGTATCGTCGCCAGATAATAGAATTAGAGATTAAAAAAAGAAAAACACATACCTCTATCTGCTCAAGAGTGTCTTGTAGTTTAGAATTCAGTTCACTGTGGAATAAAGGAACAGCACAATTATTATTTGACATGGATTATAGAAACAGCTGACAGTCATTTTCATTGTTTATCAGCTATCGAAAAAAATGTCAAAACATCAAAGGGGGTAACATGCAAAATCGATTTTTTGAGCTTTATWTCATGTTATAAAGTCATTCCCTTGACAAAAACACGCCCAGTGTTGCTTTGACTCATTCATGCATGTTTGAAAAATCCTTGAATCTCCTGTAAATATGTGGGGCTTTCTAAACTCTTTCTGGTACTTCCTAAACTCTTTCTGGTACAAAGCCAGCCTATATACACAAAACACCTCCCTGGTGCTCAGTCTACCACACAGAGCACCCCTCTCTTGAGGCATTGTTGTTAAGATGTCCTGAAGTGGGAGCGTTGGAAACGGTAGGAGGTTCTTAAAGAGACAGGGGCCAATTTCAAAGCATTTAAATAGGCTATGATAATTTTCATAAAAAATTAAAGTAACYGTTATTTGATTGTGGTARATATTGAATTATGTGCCTTGAAAATACATAAATCCACCCTCCCCATACTAATTATATTGTATGTTCTGGGAAGATATTAACTATATTAAAATGCACACTGGGGAATATTATTTCCATGAGCACCCTGGTTACTKACATTACTTTGCAGATGATCTGTAAAATGTCCTGATCAAGCGCTTTTTTGATGTGCCATTAAGTCCTTGGGCCCTTAAATTAAAAACCAGGCTTTCGTGGCGCTGCGTTAATTTAAAGCTGCTCAGAATTTACACCCGAGTTCAACAAGGCTGCAACTCATCACTGCTCCTGTGTGGGGTTTTTTATGAACAGAATTTCTAGGCATACTGTAGCTGTAATCATAACAATTTCCAACACTGATATCTTGACATTATGCCCATTTGCTTTTTTTTCCACTGTTGCTACTTTTGCCTTGAAATGGACTTCTGAAGAATAAGTAGCATGAAAAATGAGTTCTAATCTTGTGTGTGCAGCTGTGTTCATTTTTTTCCCTTAGCAAAGGGATCACCATTGTGCCTCACCACAAATCCTGGCTTCTTAAAACAAAAATTCTGAAATTAAATTTTTAAGCTTAAATACGCTAAACATGGCCAACCTTATCTGAACAAAACACAAACCTGTAGTGGCTTGAACTGTCGTTTAACAGCAGGAAGGTTACGGTTTAAATTTTGGCTGAGGCCTTTCAGCAGCGAGAGTTCTTACTCTTCCTGTTCCACTGTTTATTTGTTTTGGATACATGAGTTTCCTCCCAATTCATGTTAGACAAACTGAGGGTTTTGCTCAGTTGTTCACTTTATGCTAGCCCTGTGATGGACTTGTTATGAATTTAAGGGGAACCTGCTTTGTGCCATGTGACAGCTGGGATAGCCTACAACCCTGAACTTACTAAAGGAGGTATATAAATGCACAAATTAACATGTATGTGGGCCAACTCGACCCCGTTACCTCATCACTTAATCAGTTTATCAACCAGAAGGTTTTTTTTTTTTTTTGCTATTTAACCAGGCCATTGAGATCACAGATCTCTTTTTCAATGGAGGCTTGGGCCTGAAGGCAACCTATTGTACATGTTTTTGGGGTACCTCTTCCATGAAGAAGGCAAACTCAACTATTTGTTTTTGTGAGCTTTTTACCCCCAACAGTATTTTCTCTTTGTTTACCATTCAGTCCAGATTGCCAGAATGCATGTTCAGCTTAACCAAAGCTTTTTCCTGCACGTCTATTCTCATCTACAACAGGTGTCCAAGCCTTTTGGCCAGACTGCTCACTCCTCACCTCCATTACCCTGCCAGTACATTCTTGAATTCTACAATATCCTTTTCCGTATTTTTCCTTGGGAAGCTGTTTAACCTGGCTAATGCCTTCACCGCTCTTCACCTCCCCTTTTTCTGCCTGACACAATTTGTTTTTTTAAACCTGAATTATTGCCAACACTTTTGAAGCCATTCTTAGTGTGTGTGATGCGGTTTGGATCTATCTRTATGCTGAATCTCAACAAATATAATTGTTTTATTCAAATAGTTTGATGTTAACTACACATTTTTATAGTTAACTTTACTGTCTTAACATGAAAGTCATAAGGTGTCAATGAATCCTCTGTGGTGGCTCAGATTTTGCCTCATCCAAGTGAAGAGTTGAATGGTACCAACAGCAGAATTTATGACTGTTTTGCAGACCCCAAGACACTAATGTCGGTTCCCTTGTGACTCCCCCACACAACATTCATAAAGGCCCTCTGTTCAACTGTTTTCTGCCTCTGACCCAGCTTTGTTTGCATGTTTCATCAGGTCAGCTTGCTCTTATGCTGTGCCTTGTGGGTCTGCAGATGTCCAAAGGAAAAAGAAAGTCCTTAACAAACTGTTAATGGAGCATCTTGGCTTCAGCTGGTGGATAGAGTTATGTTAGGGAATAAGAAAAAAATTAGAAATGAGACGAGTCCRATGTGTAGTTTGCAATAAATGGGAAACAAAACAAGAGTTAATTGCCCTTTTGTATCTCCTTGTGGAAGTATTTATGCTCATAAGACATAGCTGAGTGACAGCAGAGTGACAGTTAAGTAGTGAGTACTAAACACGACCAGTATTTCCCACTGCTAACAAACTGCACAAAACGTTCTTAGCTACAATATGAAAAGACTTGCCAAAGCCAGCATCCTTAAGGGACAGTCAACCAAAAATAAATAAATAAATAAATAAATAAATAAATAAATAAATAAATAAATAAATAAATAAACAGAGAAGTTAAAAAGCTGGCTCCACCACACAGGACTGAATCGATCAAATTCAGGTCCACACTACTGAGGCATCACATCTGAATGTTAACAGGAAAGGCCCAGGAGTGCACAAAGCAAAGACTTACAGTCCTGGCAACCAGAACATGGAGATGCACCAAAGGAGCTCAGACCAAGTGGATAAATGACCTCCTGTTCATAACAGATCCTTTTAGTTTGTCCCAACTCAGCAGTTTAGTAGAGGGACTGGAACTGGACCACAAACAGAACAGTAACAAGGCACCATTGGGAGGAAGAACAAAAAAGATAGGAACTATTACAACAGAGATAAAAAAAAAAAAATGAGGAACACCAACAACTTGGAATTAACAGCGCTCAACATGGCCAGGAACAAATGGATAAACCAAAATACACACATTAAAGAAAATAGACTTCATTTAGACAAGAACATTGAGCTGACATCACACTTTGATTATCTTTGAACAAAGCCTCTACAGCTGGATCTAAAAAGAAAAGGGAAAAACAGGGTATGTTTTTGTTTATCCTAACATTTATACAGTAACTACACCTACCACCAAAAAAMCTGACTTACATCTTGCTGCATTAACGTGCAGAAAAGTACTAAATCGGTATCTTTCTTGTAAATATTCTCAAGCAATATCCAGACCACCAAACTTTTCCAAAACAATGTTTGTGTTTTTGAAGAAAGCAACTGAAGGTCAACTTAAACCTAAAATCTGAGGTCACCTTCTAATCTTTTTAGCTCCTGTATTAAGACCCAACTCTTAGTCACAGGGTTCAGTGTGAATTCTTGCTTGTACAGATGCAGCTCCTTCCTAATCCCAGCACCCCTCTGTGATCAGAAAGAATGCATAAATAACATATGAGAAGAAAAAAACTAATTAACACACTGTTCCTAGATAGAAATTAGATTTTTTTTTTAATTATTATTATTAGTGTTGGCAATTGGAGCTCCGAAGAGCTTTGAGGCTAGTCCTTCCACACTGATATGCTGACTCAATGAACAGCCATGAATGTACCATGTTTTAGAGGGTGTACGTATTAAGATGATGGCTGTGTCCAAATTCAGGGGCTGCACCATTCAATTGACCCAACCAATCGGTCAACATGAGCCGGGTCCTTTGTTGACAGCGAAGACCAGAAAAAAGCCGATGTGAATTTGGGTGGTCTAGTCTTCAGCTAGCCTTCGAGAAGCCTTCAATTACGACACCTTTCAGTGCAGTGAAGTAATCGGACAACAAAGAAGGATGCAGCCCCTGAATTTAGACACAGCCAGTGAGAACAGCTTTTTTGTTGCAGTGGTGTTTAGGCCTCCACATACTCCATTTGAACTGCTGAAATCGGCCGGAGTTGCTTGACAAAAATTGAGTCATTTTGTTTGCAGCTTGGAATCTTCCATCCCTTCTTGTCACAACCTGTTGTGAGAATATCTGCTTATGCTGACAATGCTCGGACGATGCATTTTGTTTCAACTACTCGCTTCCAGAATCCCATTGTTGTACCCGAAAGCAGACATTTATAAAAACAGTAAAATTATCAAAAACGCATGGATAAAAATGACACAGACGTTGTGCACAGAGTAATCTGTCAGCCACAAACTGTGACAATTAAAATGGGACAGATTTGTGGACAAAATAATGGAGCATATCTGAGTTTTGTTTTTTCCCCAGTGTAGACTCCAGCAGGAAGAAACCCTGTGAAGTGGCGTATACCGCAGCGGGAGGGTTTTCCTAGGAGCTCAACATCTCAGGGGCATCAAAAAGCATAAAAGGTGTGAGCAGAAATTAACGTATAACAACCACATGATGGCGTGTCGACTGTTCTGTGTCAAATCGAGTATACTGGGCCCTTTAGCCAGTGCTATTCAGCAGGTGGGCAGAAAACAATAAGACAATGTTAGTTGTCTATATTAGAAAACTAGAACAAATACTAAAAAACATCAGTAATATATAAAATATTTTTATTTAGATACAAACCTTAATTTGCAGCTTACATAAAACGTAGCAAGACTTAAAAATGTACTAATAATCAGTTTTCACATTCTTGAATTATGACAGAAACAGTGAGGTCAGAGTGACCTTTCAGTTCATCTCCTAATCTAAATGAGAATTGGTGCCAAAAATGAAAAAAAAATTCCCTAATGGCATTCCAAGCATTTGATGAGAAAATGAATGAATGGACGGAGAGAAATACAACCCCAAACTTAAAGTCTTCCAGTCACAGCTCTTCATTTTTTTATTAACGCGATTATTTTCACACTGACAGCCTTCCTGACAGGGCTGAGTGCAGGATTTCTGAGTGAGCAACAACTAAATTTAAGGCTTTGCCAAAGGTGGCAGGTAACCTTCTTAAATCTGGCACTTATGGTGAAATTTCCACCACTGGCCGTGACACAATTATTGTTTCCCAGAGCTTCAGAGGGGAGTGACTGCAAAGATGAAGAAGTAGGCTACATCAAACTGGAGCAGCAATTCCAACTAATAAAGTATCCAAAAGAAGCTCAAAAATAATTTGGCAAAAGAGACGAATAATGACAAAAATTATTACTGTTGCTGCTTCATCAACAATGAGTACATCTATCGTTTTTTTAATGAGGGCATTTATTGAGCATCAACATGAACATGCAACTTTATTAATGATAATTGAATTAATCAGAGAAAACAAATGCAATATATTCACGAGTCAACAGCAAGTCACGGTTTAAGAAAACAGCAGGATGATTATTTCTCACTACGGCAATCACCTGTGCATAATATTTACTTATCATTTATAATTCTGCAGCTGTCAATCAAACGGGATTATAATAAAAATGGCTTTGCTGTATTTTCTGTTTGTTATAAAGATGCAYTGATTAAAATTTACTACAACTGATAAATCCATTGTTTGCCATCTGGTCTTTATGAAAAATGTGTTYAAATTTTGTATAGATTTAGTTTTGTTTTTTGTTTTTTTACTTTCAGTGGTTTTAACATCTATTTCTTTTTAAAAACTTTCTGCCAAGAGCTTGGCTGAAAAAGAAATACAATATAAGCTACATTATAGCCATGGCATGTTCTATAGCTTCACACATAAATCATTGACTCATTTTTCTATTTTCAAATTAAATTATACCTCGTAAAGAGAAGATTGTAAAGACTTACGAGTTTATTATGTTAGATATGGGAGAACAGTAAAACAACCAGACGACAGTGATGTTTGTTTTTCTCAAATGTTCGGAGATATCGCTTGTGACTTCACCAAAGGTTATCTGGTGTATCACTGTTTCACCAGCTGTACGTCATGCTTCACTGGACGTCTGCCAGAGTCTCTAAATCTTGTAAATGGATGCTTTCTCAATGGGGGATTAACAGTAATTTTCTTGAACTGGAAGCGGAAGATGCATACAGAACAAGTTATCTTAAAAGAAAACTAAGACGGCTGCAAGAAAATACTAAAATGTCCTTGATCAGGCTTTGCGTTCATTGTTTCCCCACCAGGCTAAAACCTATCTGACAATGTCTGCAGATGGAAAAATGTTTTAAAAACTGTCTCGACATCATAGCCAAAGAAGCAGAGCAGCAGTGAGGAAATGAAGGAATCAATCCCTCGGTGAGAGTTCTCTAAATAGATCAATTAGGTTCCAACCTTGAGAAACAGAGGGTAAAAAACAAAAGCGTCTGGTGCCCTTCGATCTGCCTTTCAAGAAAAACACAATTTCAAAGAAGACCAACATCCAAAGTGTATTCTACCTGAGCGGAACTGAAATTAGATTATTCCAGACTGGTATAACTCAGAAAGATCAGATTTCTATCGTAAATTTCTCCATCCAGCCAGAAAAATAAGTCCAAGACTTCTCCCACTTGGACACAGCTAAATCAGAGTATCAATCTGTTTACACTGTACCTGATGCAGCTGTAGTGTTTGAAGGTGCTGGCAGCCTTTTGACATTCCAGACAGAGCTGGATTGCACCTGGATAGTCTTCCTCCTGAATGAAGAAAACAGAAAGATAATTTGGTGTCACTTCCAAAAAAATACAAGATTTCCAAAGAGGTTTAATGGAAAAAAAACTAAGTCAGATTAAATAACACTACATTAAAAGAATACTTCAGCAAACAAATAAAAAGTACGCTATGTGTGATGTCTTCTTTGRATCTTGTTCTAATATAAACACATGTTCTGTATCTGAAAAGAGTTGTCAYAGCAGAGTTTGTCCTGGGAGGCGTACAGATTTGTACAGTTGTCAGATACATTTCACACGCTACAGCTGACCTTCACAACAGATACAGGCTTGTCAAAGGAGCTAGTATTKYTGCTGATTTTGCTTTTGATGCCAAATCTTCCCTGATGTTTGACCTTTCGAGTCAATTATGAATTTCTCTGTATGTACGCGTGTGCATTTGTAGGGATTATATTACCTCAAGCATCTCGCTCAGTCTTACGTCTGTTCTTTGCTGAGAGATAAAGAAAAAAGAAAAAGAGAATATGAACACATCTTATTGTTACTGCATATGTCCCACTTGTAGTGTGACTGTGGGAATGTTTGAAACAGAATCGACACTTGAGAAAAACTAAAGCTACATAATGGTTATATCTCAATGTACAGCAGACTACACTGAACGAAGATGGAGATGGATGTCAGGGAGTTMTAAAACTGTAATGCAAAAAAATAGTTTCCAGAATGTAAGAATATTTCATCTTTTTAAAACATGTGTTAACTTTACCAGGGTCTTGATGGTCCTCAGAGACTTGAGCAGACCTGTCAGCAGTTGTCGCCTCCTCTGATTGGCTAGCAGACCCAGGCTGGCCTCTGTGAACCCCTCCTTTGCACCTCGTAGTTGTCTTCGCAAAAAAAAAAAGTCCAAGATGACATTTAAATTTTTATTATTTTAAAGACAATTGAAAGCCCTGTCACACTAGACAACTTATGCCAACTTAAGAAGCATTTTATTGTATATATTTGATCGATCTGTTCGAATTACATTGTGTACAGGCCAAAAAAAGCTTCCTATTGATTTTTTCTGTTCCATCTTCAATATAGATGTCTTTAAAATGTTCATAAATTGGTATAAGTTGTCTAGTGTGATGGGGCCTTTATAGTCAAGCATTATATGGAGAGTTGAATAACAAGAAGAAGACGTAATTATGTGGCGTTTAGTTTAATAAGAGAACGCAGCTCTGGCAGACATAACCAAACGATTCTGACTTGGACTGTTGCAACAGCTACACACTACAAAAGCAAATGTTATAAATTGTTTTTAGCTGCCTAAAAATGAAGATCATATATTTCAAAAATGTTTTTAAATAACTGAGTATCAAAGCATTTTAGCTGAACTTTTAAGGCCCCTGAAAGTTTACTTGTGGTTGGATCTGACAAATACCTCTCTGTTCTACAGCTGGTTAATTAGTGTAATGTAGAAAGTGAGGCTCTCTGTTAAATCCTGCCTTCAGTCTAACCTCTCTCGTCGCTTCAGTTACTCTGCCATCTTTGTGCGTTAGGTTAATTTTGTTTCTTTCATTTCACTCATGCATATTGATCTTTTACTTTAATTAAATTAGGTTTAATAAATTACTCAATAACTTTTACATCTGATGATTCTCACTTTTGCTGTGGTTATAAAGACTGGGGGGTCCAGATTTCATATTGCATCCCAAGTGAGAATCAAATCTCTARAATTCAGCTGGTCTTTCTTAAGAAAGCATGACAGGGCTTGAAAGAGAATAGAGGGCTTTTTGGGCCAGGCCACATGCTGCGCAGCTTCAATGCTTTCAGGAGTCACGGTTGCGTTTGGACTTGTGGCGAGATGAACTTGCACTGAATGCCACTGCCCTGCTCTGTCACCACATTGCAGAACCATTTCTGCTGTGCTATGAAAGAGAGCTGAGAAGCATCTATTTCAACAGAAGGAAACTACAGTAATGGGGGGAAATTATCATGGTTATGAGACAAGCACTTAGTACTCAGACACAGTTTGAGGAACTATTTCAGGGAGTCGGTYGCAAGTTAGAGAACATCATTACCTCCTTGCATTAGTGCAAATGACTGCTGCCAGCTGCAGGTTGGTCTGCAAGGCCGTCACTCTCTCCAYCTCCTGTGAATGTAGATAATGGTTTGAAACACAGATTATAACCATTAAAACGAAGCAGCATTGTGTATTTATATTATTATTAGATAGATGCAAGATARGGCTCCATTTCCAAGGCAACTCATCTCCCCTATAACATTGCAAAGACGCAATTGGCAATTGTCACAGCTTTATCAGAGTGTTTTGTTTTGTTTTTGTTTTTTTTTTGTGCGTGTGTGTGTGAATGAGTCTGCTGTCAGCTGATAAATGTTATGGTAAGGGATCAATTTCCACTGCCAAATTTAGAACTTTAGAGTTCAAGAGGATATTGTTCAAAACAGAGATTCAAAGAAAACCTTCCATTCTTTAGAGCTGTGACATTTAAAGGAGCGTCACTGAGCGCTCTGCTCTCAGAGTTCAGCAATTATCTCACTTCATTGACCTCTGCCGAGCACAAGTACATCCTCGCACAACACAGGGCTGACATTTCCAGCATCCTTTGTGCTTTTATTTTCTTGATCTGCCAGATGTCATGCCTGAGGTGCGAGAAGCTGGTTGTTGTTGTCCTTTTTTTTATCCCAACATTATATCAACCCTTTCAAAAAGAGGGCCCATTGTTCCAACTAAAATAAATTCCTTATAACATCGTCTGATGTTTGCCAGCAGAATATGGTCTGAGGAAATTCAGCTTTCACGGTAATAAAGACAACAACAACAGCAACAGTAAAAAGCAGCACTTCAGCTGCAGGCAAACCAATCTAACCTCATGATCTTGAGTGCTGATGACGATCTTGATCAGTCCCGAGAAATATTTCTAAGAGRTCAGTATATCAAAAGTTTTCTCTAAAGATACAATAGGGAAACGATGTTCCATAAAAATAAAAKTAAAGAAAGCTTCAAGCAGGTAAAACTTTTAATCAAGTTGAATATACAACATGAACTTCTTACATTTCTTTTTACCTATACCTGTAAGTAGTCTCATGTAAAGTATCTGTTCCTTTATTCAAGAAATAATGTTATTTGCTGGTAAAAATTAAATTTGATGCTTGGATGTCCACAGGCTTTTTTGTTTGTTTAAATGGAGTATTACGTATTCTCCAGGCACATAGTTCAGTTCTTTACTATAATCAACTATGTTACCTTGAGTTATTTTGAAAACACTGTATTTATCAAAAAGAAAATTGACTTTGCATCATAGCCTTGAAATTAACCACTTTCTTTTTAAGAACCTCCTACCATTTCTGACTCTTCCACTTCAGCATTTCTTACAACAATGCTTTGGGAGACACTTAAGAACCACAGCAGCATTTGAATGACATTTTTTTTTATCATAATAAAACTAAAAGACGGCCTAAGAACTGGTGGCCACACAACTTACCAAGATCAGCTGGAAAAATAATTTAATAAACTGAATCCAGCTGATGGAATCTCATACTGTGAGCATGGAGTTTCATCTTCAGTTTAATGAGCCTCTCTGCTATATCTAAAGGTTCACACTGAAGGTGCACAAGCCATTTAAGCTACAGGAGTCAGTTTTGCAACTGAAATCTTAAATCTTTTAATACTTAAAACTTCAAAAGGATTAAGCATTAATATCAATCAAAGTCTGACATTCATACTGTACCAATAATGCAAACTAGTAAATAGACAGTGAAATTTTACTCAAATGCAAATTTAGCTTTCAGTCTCCAACAGGAGCCATTTCCCTCCAAGCAAACCCACATTATGTTAGGCAATCTCTATTCAAACCGTCATTACCAATGCACAGCAGTTAAAAAAAACAATGATCTCACCATAAAAGYCAGAAACATACAGGGTTAATATGTGCACAGAGACATACTGGAAAAGGAAAAGATAACTCAAATACTCAAGCATATGGAAGCATACACAAACACACAGCCATCGAGACACAGGTTTTGAACATGATGAGGGCTCCGATTTTTGCCGGAGGCTCCAAAGTGTTGTTCCATCACAGCTTCGAGGTGTCTACCCTGTCTGCAAGGKACGCTTAAACTAAGAGACAGACGGTTGAATTAGTTTAGCCTGTGTGAAAATAGACATGGTAACTGAACAGTGGTGGGCTATAATGTTTGGTTAGACGGGTTTTAACAACCAGTTTTGAACAGTCATCYCTTATGGACATGACTGCAATAACCTATAAAGATGGTAAGTCATAGGGGAGCTTTTTTTACAGCCTCCATTATTCATGTATTCATAAGAGGTCCACGCTGTGACCCTTCKGCACATTAACTATGCACATCTTTTTGTTACTCAACCTGCCTTTAGATTAAAAAGACGCTTCTGCTTGGGCTCTCCCTCACTTACTTTGTGGTATTTAAGCCATTAGAAAGTAAAACTCAGTGTCATTTAGGTCACATGGTGGCAGGGTCTGACTAACAACTACTTTCAGTTGAATGTGTTTCTATTTCCACGTTACCTTCCAGTRCACTGGACATCTCTACACATTAAACACCTTTTCACATTCTTTCCCAGTTTACTATAAACGAAAGGTGATCCCGTGTGTTTGATTGATCCATCCATCCACCCATAAAAAACAGCAAAAAACACAGATTTGGACAAATTTATCGTTTATATTAATACTGTAGTGAACACCAGTGTAATTTATGATCTGGTTGATTTTAAAATTCTGTTGATGTATGAAGCTCATTGCAATGCATTACCTTCTGCAATACAATTGTATTTTACTAAGAGGATAAGTGTTTATAACTTGAAAGGATTTGAGATGTTTGTTTTATCCAAAATTAGAACAAGCTTGAAAGAGAGATGTACTTCAGTTCAGGGTATCAAATTTTGGAATAGTTTAGCGAAGGACTTCAAAATTACTGGCACAATTCATTCATTAGAAGAAGGGTCAAAACTTGGTTTTTGAATAGATATGGGCAGTCTATGTTTGGGTAATTTACTTTTGTTTTGTTTTTTTCTCAGCTGTTCATTGGAATGTAAAATAGTAGTTTTTTGTTGATGTGTATTTTGTCACTTTTTTGTAAGTATTTTGATATATAGATTTTTTTAAATTGAGGGCAGATATAAGTATCTTTTCTTCTGTCTGCTCCTTTTCATTTAATGATGTTG